GGTAGAATGGGATTATCCGGGAAGAAGAATGGGAGATAATCTTCCATTCCTTACTCGATACTACGTGCCGATATTGAAGCCATTCAAGATTCTCAATTGGAGATGACGAGATAGATTGCTAGGCCAATCAACACCTCGGTATAACGTTAGTTTTCCGAGACGAATGTGATTCTGTGGCTCGTCGTCTTGAGTGATCATCGTATATCCTCCATACAAGACGGGCTTCATACTCCATACTCCATACTCCATACTCCTTCCTAGGTATCATATAGCGTCGCACTCTGGGGTATCTCATGGGTGACGTCGAATAGCCAACGTTATGAATTTCAACCCTTGCGTACATCACTTGCATCAAGCCTCTATTTTTTCCGAACACTAAGTGGGGATCTGACTTAGCGCTTCTTAGACCCGATCTCCGTTTTTCAGCTGCGGTTGCGCACACGGGATGTTTGAAACCGAAACGAAAACTTTTCTTTCATACGCAGTGGGGAAGACCCATGGAAGATACACGGAAGAGACAATTTTCGACAGCTCCGGAACCACAGGAAATCTCTTCTCGGTAGTGTATGTATTGAATTGAAGACATCCTGCAGGCTCCTTGAGCTTTCCCCATACTATAGGCCAGGGGTCAGAGACAGCTAGCAGTATAGCCCGAGACAAGACACATGGGTGCCAAGCGTAATCCCTGTCGATGTACAGAGAACGGACGTAAGAATGGGAAAAGTGCTGAAAGTAGTCTACTGTGATAGGCGCTGGGTTGCTGCGGCAAGGGGAGCCCGGGCAACCAGACCGGCAATATTTGGCCCCTAGAGCAGATGTCTATCACTTGCTGTCTAGGGCCATTGCATACCGCAGTAGATCGTACCTGGCCTTGTAGAATAAAGAATTAATTATAATTAATTCTAAGGGATTACCGAAATGGTTGAATATGCAGACCCATGTATTTACAGTACCAGGCCCTATACATTCCCCTGCTTAGAGCAATTACACTACACTAAATACTACTCAATACTGAATACTCATTTCTGAATTCTTACCGTACGGAGCCGCAGTATTACCAAACCTATACTCTTCCTCCCCACCTGCGTTGCCCATTGCAACAAGCCCATCCCTTCAGCTTCAGTTCTTTCTTCAAATCGCTTTGTGCCACCTTTTCTTCTCTTTCTCCTCCATATTTCTGGTCGACACATTCCTCGTTTCGGTGGACATCCGGGGTTTGACTTGCTTCATATCTCACTGTTCGCGACCTCAAATAGATCTCCGACATCTCGGACATCCCCTCCTGCACGAGCTCCGACCCCTCCTCCGCCTCTATTTGCCTGTTCGCTCGCTTGCCATGGCCCTATAGCTTCTTCCACACACACGATACAAGGCTCTCGGTGGTTAGAGGGTCTGGGACCTCAGGATTTTTTTTTGAGACTGGTTGTCACGGCGATCGTGGGGACCCATAACGAGAAATTGCAAACGTGGAGACGTGCATTCACGAACACTACATTTTCCCGGGACCTCGTTGTAGGACCTAGTGCTGGGTAGACATTGGGGTCATTGCCATTGCATCGCCTAACTGTACACCGTCGGATCTGGACCGGTTGCAGTTTGCGTCATGGAACACTCTTCTCCTCTGGCGGCGATGCAGCCGCCCTCAGTCATGTTTGGTCATTGCTTCCGTTCAGAGGCTCCAACTGCGTATCCTCTGGGTTCTATGTCGGGGTTTGGTGGGAACCCGTTCAACTTCAAGGACCTGTCCATGAAGAGGTCCAGTTCGGACTACTTCAACATGAAACCAGTCCGGGGATCTTCCCCCACGGCGAGTTTGGCAGCTGACCTGTCGCAAAACTTTCATATTGATCAGAGGTTGGTTCTTCATTTCCATCTTCGTTTCAGGTTAAAGAGACAAAGGCATGCTGACTCTATATTTAGTCCCCAATTAGCCACACCACGCCGGTCTTTGTTCACGGCCAACATGCTCAGCCAGGCCAACCGACAGGGTAAGGAACATTCATGCTACCATGAAACAACCAGTTGCTGATACTATATAGATGATGTTATGACCACCCCTCCACTCGACTCGTCACCCGCCCCGGCTATGGACGTTATGGAAATGTCCCCTCTCCCCCATAAACCAGCTTTCATTGTTACCGCAGAGTTGGAAGTACACTCTCCTACCCCGGACTGCACTCCTATGGATTCACCTGTTATGTCTGCGGCTCCTAGTCCTCTCCAGGCGTCTCCAATTGAGTCTCCGCTATGCCAACCAGAGCGGAAGCGTCCCGCTTTCCTCCGTCCTAGTCTTGCCAAGAGCAAGGCTCAGTCTTTTCAACTTGGAATGACCCGGCCAGCACCCGAGAGCAAGGCTCCTCCCTTCCGGTTTGGCACTGGAGCCAAGACCTCGCTCAGTACATCGACGTCGTTGGAGGATATGTTCGGAGACTCCCCTCCCCATGAGCGCCCTCTCTCGCGGAACAACTCGTCGACCAGCCTGGCACCCCCTCGCCTGCGTCCACCATTCAACCATGCCCGTAGTAGCGGCTCACCCGCTCCCAATTCTATTCGCAAGCAGTCTCACCCCTTGATGCGCCCCCGCAAGCAGTGCCGGAGGTCATTGAGTATGTTTGAGCATCCAGCTGATGTGATTGCCGATAAAGAGGCAAAGGTAGCAACAAATACACCCCTGCAGTCAGTCAGTGACATCTCGAGTCCGCCCAGCATGAAGCTACCTCACTTCATTCCCGAGGATCGTGCGGACTCATTGCCTCGTATCGAAAAGAGCACTCTCCTGGAGCTCATGGATGGAAAGTTCAATGAACACTTCGATAATATCCTGGTTATCGACTGCCGCTTCGAATATGAATATGATGGTGGCCATATCAACGGTGCCCTGAACTACAACGACAAGGATAAGCTCGCCGGTGAGCTCTTCGGTGCTCCCAAATCTCGCACCGCACTGGTCTTGCACTGCGAGTACTCTGCCCACCGAGCCCCTATTATGGCCAAGTATCTTCGTCACCAGGATCGTGCCATTAATGTCGACACTTACCCCAACCTAACGTACCCTGATATGTACATTCTGGATGGTGGTTACAGCTCATTCTTCGCCGAGCACCGCTCGTTCTGCTTCCCGCAGAACTATGTGGAAATGAGTGATAAGGAGCATGAGTTCGCTTGCGAGCGTGGCCTTGGTAAGGTCAAGCAGCGCTCCAAGCTGAACCGTGCCCAGACTTTCGCCTTTGGTGAACAGTCCCCCCAAATGGAGGATAGCCCTACGGGCCGTTGTCGCTTTGACAACCAGCGAGATCGCTTCCTTGGCTCCCCATTCTCCGCAAGCCCTGTGCCCCAACGGACACCTGGCCGTCGGATGCTTTCATACTAAACCAAAACGCCAGTCTTTTGATGGCGCTCTGCATTTCATCTTTTCCGTCTTGTCATTGGAGCGTGGTGTTTGATGCCTTTACGGTGGCTTTTTCTTTCCAGCCTTTTTTTCTTTCGATTCTTCTCAACCTTTCTCTCTCACCTCTTTCGGTAATGGCGCTGGATCCTCCGCCTTGCCACCCCTTTCCACAACTCTTTGATACCAGCTATTGGTATCGTCCTCTCCTTGGATGATCATCTACTACCGTCGGTCTATCCTCATCATTTCCTTTTCTTGGACGACCAAGTTGTCGTCACTTCTCTCTATGACCATTGCCTACGATCCGACTTCGGGCAATCGATACCCCATGAACCATTCGGACCCGAGTGTCACTTTTCCTATGTCACATTACGACCTCGCGACTTCGAACTTGCGAATGAAGGCGTCGGCCTATCAGCACCATATTCCCTTTTCCGACTCCTATGGGGCTTTTCAGCGAAAATAATACCCCCACGATGATTCACATCCAAACATTTGCCCGCTTTTGGCATTCCCTTCTCTCCACGCACATTCTCTTGACACCATATCGTCCTTTAATCCACCATTTGGCCCTTCTCTGTACAGCCTTCGACGTTATCATGGAACAACCCCCGTTCCTCGCTGCGCCAACTTGCATCTCGTCCGACTCCGGTACTTTAACCGGCAAAACGCTTTACGAAATCCTTGCATGAAGCATTTGTATTTCAACGCATCTTCCTCTACTAATATCGCCCCTTTGAAATGTGTCATTCGGGTCAAGAGGAGGAAATTGGTGTAATATGCATTAGTGGCTCTGCAGCTGTACATATGAGGATCCGCCTGTTTATTACGGGATATTCTCTCTGGAGGTTTCCCTTGTGAGATTTAATGTGTCTGGAAAGGGTAATCAGAGGAGACTCCAGCTACAAATGTTTGATTTCCTTTTGTGAAAAGAATGAAAAAATACATTCAACTCTTCTTCTAGTAGACTGAGTAATAACTCAATATCTGCAAAAGAAAAGATCGACAAACGGTGGATGTATCAATTAATGACGATTGGCGTTTCAACTCTCCCGCGGGAATGTGATAGGCGGAGGCGAGGAGACTATGGGGTTCTCTGTCAACCCTTTACTCGGCTCCCCTTGACGTTTCAGCCTTTTTCTTCTTTTCTCCATCTTCATCTCTTTCTTAAAGGTGTCTCTCATATAAACTAAGGTGTCTGTCTGAGACAAGCACTGCCCGTTCGTTTTGAGACCCTGCGCCCTGACGTTCCTTGGGTCATCCCAGTCATTCATTATCTGCTTCTATTTTCGTACCTTGCTGCCTGTTCCAACGGTAATCTCCAGGGCTTGGTCAACCAGCTATTTACAATCCTTTCTTTGCTCATCAGCATCAACATTTGTGTTTCGCACCTTTCGCCAAACTCGGCTTCGCGCGCCCCGCCCTCTCCTTACCCGCGGAGCACCAACTGTATCTCCGCGTCACCATTGACTCGAACTGTTGGACTGTGCATTGCAACAGACACTTTGAGGGGATTCAAAGGAGGATTGTGGAACACAATTACACAATCGCTCTCGATAATCGAATGATTCCTCGCTTCTAGCCTAGCGCTTTACAACACCTTATCGCCAAGATGAGTCCCGCAAATGTCCCGCTATGGGCCCGAAACACTGCCAGTGAGCTCGAATCGGTGCCCTCAACATTCTCTAGCTGGGACAAATGCATGGCCAAGTCCTATTGCAAGTGAGTTTATCGCGAGGAGCCGATGTCCTCAATTCCATGCGCGCAGGCGCATCAACTGACACTATACTAATCAATCGGCGTAGGTGGCCCGTTATCGCCGGTATCATTGTCGGATCCGTGATCCTACTCGCCGTATTAGCATGTGTGGTCAATTGCCTATGCTGTGGCTACCAATGCTGCAAGTGCTGCTGTAGCTGTTGCTGCCCATCCGGCCGGCGTAGAAACAAGCAACCGAAGCAACCAAAGCACTTCGATGACCCTCCATTCCACCAGCCTCCGCCGCCTGACGCGAACCCAATCTATCAAGCGTCTCCTGCTCCGCCCTCGTACCGCGGTGCGCAACAGACTGCGCGCTTTGATACGCCCAAGTCTCCTGCTGCCACGGTCGCTACGGCTAATGATGATGCTTTGCCCGAGATGCCTACTTGGGCTGGTGCCGTCAACAAGCATGTCGAAGACCCGAATCACCATGATGACGTTGAAATGGAGCCCTTGAATCCTCCGGACAGGAAGGGCGCTGGGACTCCCGGTGTTGCGTACTCTGATTACTCTCCTAACCCAGCCATGGCCGGTGGAGGGTACAGAGGCTTTGGACCTACCGATCCCTATGCGCGACGCTCCCCCGGCCCAGCGGCCGCATTGGCTGCTAGTCAGGATCCATATGGGCGTCGTTCTCCAGGTGTGACATCCCCCGGTGGACCTATGGATCCCTACGCCAGAAGATCCCCCGGTCCAGCAGCACTCTCTGCCACTCAAGATCCATATGGCCGCCGCTCACCAGGCCCAGCCGCAGCATTGGCCGCCACGCAAGACCCTTACGGACGACGTTCCCCAGGCGTAACATCCCCAGCAGCTGCCGCCGCGGTCGATCCCTACGCAAGACGATCCCCAGGCCCAGGAGCAGCATACGCAGCCGCACAAGACCCCTACAACCGCCGCTCCCCAGGCCTGACCTCGCCCGTAGGTGCCCCAGTCCACAACCCCTACGACCAATCCTACGACGACCACTCCACCTACGGTAGCCAATACCACGCTGTCACATCCCCCTCCCCAGTGGCTGCCTACAAACCCCACACCACCTACAGCCCCGTCCCAATGTCCTTCACTCCATCCTCGGAACAGGACCACGGCGCAGGCGCCGCCCCCACTCCTGGCTTTACCCGCCAGCCCTCGTTCGGCTCGAGCCAGTATCCTCCTACTTATACCTCCCAGCCTGCGTCTGCGTATAGGGCTTTCTCTCCTACGTCGCCGGCTTCCCCGCCGCCTCCTTTCCCTGCTCCTTCGCCTTCCGAGTATACCACTTATAACCCCCATGCCATGTCTTCACAACCGGCGGCTCCTGAGCCGGATACTATGAGACCTCCTAGTTTGTTGCAGAGTGGGCCTAAGCCTAATGCTGCGCATAACTTCTGAGGCTGGCATGGCTCTCTTCTGTTCTCTTCATTTGCACCGTTTTTTCTCTCTCTTTCCTATTTGATACCATTCTCAGGCTGCATCTGCCTTTTTCATCGTACATACATACACTCCAAGCTGGAAACACGCTTGGAAATGAAAGTTTCTTTTTCTTTTCTTTCTTCTTTCTCTTCAAACTTTGATGTCTTGCTGTCTGGATGATCCCTTGTCAGCTTGTGTGATACTTCCAGCTTGTCTTACCGACGTTACCATGACTACCTCTTCCCTTGTACATTGCATGCTCAGCTGGCCTGTCTTGTGTATATATTGTCGGACTGGTTTCTCACTATTCTCTAGCATTGGAGGCTGGGCTGGAATAGATAGTGAACGATGTTGATGAACCACGGCTTAGTCCTGTATGGTCCTTGTGCTTTCATTCAGTGTTTCAAACAACCAAAAGTGGTAGAACCAATAAGTTATACGTCTGACACTCTCTCGTGTAAGCGGATTGTGCAACTTAGCTTCAATCTGCGCTCATTTGTTATATATCATCGTATTCTACGAAAGGACCTGTCCACAAGCCCCCCTAGCAGTGCTATAGCATCCACATTCGCAATTGTTAACAAACCAGGTTGCTTGCTTGTTCTAATCCTCCATATCCATGGTAAAATCATGCTTCTTAAACGCCTCCTTGAATGCCTCAGCATCCTTCGTCTCCTCATCCTCCGTCTGAGTACAATCCCTCCAATCAAGACGCTCATCTAACAAAAGAAGTTTGCCCATAACTCGACGACCAAACTGAAGATCGAATCGGTTCTGCGGCTGAATGGGCAACATTGTAATCTTCTCTTCGCCCGATGGTGTCTTGTACACGCCCTTGTGGCCAGGCTTAGACCACAAATCGCCCTCGCCTTCGCCCTCGCCGGGGTCTTCTTCGCTGCGCGAAGGTGTCCAGATGAAAGCGCGGAAGAAATCGTTCATGCCGTGATTGTCGATTTCGTCGGGACCTGGGATTGTCTTGAATTTCTCGTATTTGAGGTTCGCTGCTTCTGCTTGGAAGGCTGCTTCCACTAGGCGGCCGCGGATCTTTTCTACCGGCATTGGGAGAAATTGCCAGTGCGTGTGAATGCCGCCTGAGCGGCTGATTTCCCAGGTTACGGCGCCGAGTTTGCCGCCTGATTTCTCGTTTAGCATTTGGTGCAGGGATTCACGGTATTTTTGCATCTCGGTGTACGTTGAGGCTCGGGTTTGGGGGTCGAAGATTAGGTCAATTGTTGGGCTGTGTTCGAATGGGATGATGAGCATATGGCCTGGGAAGCCTAGGGATGGGAAGAAGTCGGGTTTTGGAAGAGGTCCCTTGGCCGTAGTGATGTAGCTGTCGTTCCCAATAGAGGTGATGAGTTGTGTGGCGATGTTTGGGTTTGAGAGGCAGAAGAAGCACTGCTCTGGGCCTGGTGGAGGAGCACGGGATTTTTTGTGCCGGCGCCTATGCTCCGGGTCTCTTTCTCCGTCGGTCTGGGAAAAGCGCTGGTATGATTCGCGTTGACTGGGGAGATCTTTGCGCTTGCTCTGTACGGCTGACCAAGGACAGATGGTGCAGCCGATGGGGATACTGATTGGAGGTGCCACCGATGGGTCTAGGTTGAAAGCGTATAGTGCATCTTTCCTTGAGCCGTATGACGGCAACGATATAAAGCGGGTAGTTTGATATCCATCTCCCTCCTCTGTGGGCATGTAAAAGAAAGGCTCCCGCTCAAAGAAACCGGTGTCCGAGCGAGAAAAGTGATATCGAGGCTTCAAGGTGCCGCAGACATCGGCAATGCACTGCAATTCAGATGGCACGCCACTCTCATCTCCAGTAACTGTCTGACTAGATCCCAGTTTGACGTCCTTTGGCCACTGGTTAGTAATTAGGATGTCGGTACGGTGAAGGCCGAAGAGTGCACGAGCATCAGCTTCGCTGTATGTCGACTGAAATTTGCCAACAGCATTGCTCTCGGGCGCGCGTTCTGCTTTTTCTTCAAAGGTCCCACCGAGAGCGACAATCCGAACACCCTCCGTGGTCTTGAGAGTTCCGCGCTTCCCAAGGAAGAACAAATTGGGACACACTTCATCATCGGCTTGGATCTTTTCAATAACCCGAGTGGGAAGTGGTCTATTGCCTACAGTAAAGTAGGTGGGCAATGGAACAACCGTGTTACCTTGTAGTAAGCCGGTGATCTCATTCAGCTCGGCCTCAGTCGAGCAGTCACCGAAGAGGTCTCCGACGATAATCGCAAAAGAGAAATTTTGCTTCGGCTGCAGTTTGGCAAGTTTGGTGAAGACAGCACTTAGCTGACCATTCACACTGCCAATTACAACACTGTATATTGTGTTAGCCACTAGTAAACACGTGAATCCAGATATACTTACACCTTGGACGCCATTTCGACGGTCGATGTTAGGTTGAGGTTTGGTTTCAGAAGAATCTCGTGAGGTGAATAAAGACGAAAGAGGCGGCAGGGAAAGTATATCTATGTAGTTCAAGTCCAAAGCAATCAAAATGGAAAATCATGCACCACCAACTCAACTAAATGAACTAGACTCAGCAACTCGCGAGATCGAACATCCTGCGTAGGGAGCTTGGGCCATCCTTCACAACACGTGACCTATGGCAATTCCGCGGCGGAACAAAGAATCCCCGCGCCGATGAACTTTTTTGTATTCGATACGGATAAGATGCAAAAAAGTTGATCAGTACCTTTCCCACCCATAGTGCTGCTCAGACCCGTCAAGATGGTGGGAACAGGCTCAAAACCCAGGCCTGTCGGCCGGGTGAAAAAGGGCACCGAAACCACAAAATCACATCGGTTCGAGGGCTTCTCATCGCGCATCTCGAAGCTCAAAATCGACCCGATCCACCGCGTGCGCCGCGCCAGTTTCGGCGAAGATGAAGACGAAACAACCTCATATTTCCGATCGGCCCTCGACCATTGGTTTGAGATGAACCTTTCAGACAACTTTTCACAATTCGTACGGCGTGTCAACCCTCTTTCCGAAAGCTTTGCCCAAGTCGTCTACCATGAAGAGAAGATTATGGCTCTACTGGTGGAGTTCATTGAGAAGAGAGACCAACACTCCTTGGAACCGCTATTGAGCTTGCTTGCGCAATTTGCTCGTGACTTGGGTGTCAAGTTTGAAAAACACTTTGCGACAGCGGTCACTCTCGTTTCCTCCATTGCGGCGACACATGCGGATATTGAGGTAGTCGAGTGGAGTTTCACTTGCCTAGCATGGATTTTCAAATTCCTTTCTCGTCTGTTGGTACCGGATCTGCGACAACTGCTCGGTATCATGACTCCGTACCTCGGCAAAGAGCGACAGAAGCCATTCGTGGCGAGGTTCGCCGCCGAGTCAATGTCATTCCTCATTCGCAAGGCCGGTCTCGTCTACTACAAGAACAAAGCGCCTCTCGAGATCGCCGTTTCATATCTCTTCGATGATATATCGAAAACTGCGGACGAGGGCAAGGACACCGAGAACTATAGGGACGGATTGATGAACATGTTTTCCGATGCTATCAGGGGAGTCAACAACGGACTTCACTCCAACGGAATGGATATTCTTGATTGTATCCTGTCTAAGATCCCACCGAGTCAAGCTAATAATGAGCCAGCGGAGGTTGTCTGTGGTGTGGCTGTCAGCCTTATTCACCACACGACCCCTGATACATTCGGCCCTATCCTGGAGACTGTCAAGACTTACATCGAGGAGCGCTCGAAGTCGACCCCGAACCCCAATATTTCAGAGTGCTGCCGTTTAATGTTCTTGCTCGTGACAACCCGCAAGGGTGTCAGAATTCAGAATTGGAAGATTGTCCACCAGATCCAGGTATCCCTGCTTCACCAGGTGACATCATTCGATGTGTCGTCAGCAACGATATCAACCCTCCTTACAAGCGTTACATATGCCCTGCAAAAGTCCCCCATGGACGAGTTGCTCCCGTACCTGCGCTCTATCATGGACCTGGTGTCCACAGGTCCGCTCTCAAAATATTTCTTATTCTTCTGTATAACATTCTCGGAGTGGGGCTCTGAGCGATTCCAAAGCTTGCTTGTTTCGCCTCTCCAAAAGTTCATCAATTCATCATGGCAAGACCGCGAGTGGGAGACTTGTTTCACCCTGCTTCGCCTGAATCAAACTGGCTGCATCACACCAGACAGCTCAAAGCCTGGTTATATCTCCTGCCCGGATGCATTCAAATCCCGCGTTAATGACTCGCTGGAGTATCCCACGAAGGACGAGGCCTTCTTGAACGCACTGGTGAAGCTTCCATCGGCAATTTCTCTGTTTTCAAACTCTGCTACGATATCGAAGATGGTTTCCAAGCTGCACACTAACCTTCTGTCGGCCCTCCAAGATGGCGCAACTGAAGGCAAGGAAAGTCAGACCAACGGCTTGGTATTCTTCCTCGGCCAGGGGTTCAAAACGTATGTCGAACTCGCGAAACAAGTCGGAGAGCTTGATTCGAGTTTGTGGGAACAGATCATTGCGACTGCTACTAAGTTCTCCCGCCTGCCTGTCTTCCTGGAGGGTGCTCTCTCTTTCATCTCTTCCTTGCCGGAGTCTGCAGACCTAGAGCACTCTACACTGGAGGACTTTGCTCGAGACCTAATTGTCAACCTGGCTAGTCCGTCCCACAGGCTACGATTGGTATCCCTTCAAATATTGCGCGAATTGATTGTTCGCGTTGCCAAGAATGATCCTTCTCCCGTGGAGTTGGCCATCGAAGTTGAAGAGAGCCCGTTAACCATGGACAGCGTCAGAACCATTTCCATGCATATCCGAAAACTCGCCATTCTCTACCCCCAAATAATGTCTCGCAAATGGATGGCCACCTTGATTCCCTACTTCTGCTTTGGATTGTTCTCAAAGAAGTTGGCTCCCTTGTGGGATGACTCTGCTGCGGCACTGAAATCTATCAGCGAGCATCCCGAGGGTGAGAAGATTGTATCCGACTTGTCTATCCAGTGGTTGCATGA